ATATGTAAGCCTTAACATTTGTTAAAAGACCCAGGCTTTAACAAAAAAAAGACCAGAACAAATCAATAGCAGAAAACAGATTAAACAACCAAAAAGTGACTGCTTAGAAATAGAAGCATGTGAAGTTACCCCAAGACAAGCTTTCAGCACATACTCAAAAGAAATGGTTATTTGATATATACAGGCACCTGAAAGTCTTTCAGACCATTCTGGAGCTTCATATAGTAAACTGCTACAAGTAAGAGAATGTACAGGCTGCTACAGTCTGTCTTCCAAAGACTGCTTTGGGACAGGAGAAATCAAATTGCTTTTTTGGCTAAGATTTGTTCCCACATCAGTTGGTATTAGAATGACCATGTATTGTGTTAAATTATACTTAATACACTTGCCAAGTTCTATTTAATTCTAGTACAAGTAATGGTAATAATAATAATAGTTATTGTTGTTGTCAAAAATATCAGTACTGTATATAGTAAACCTAATGTAACTGTTCAAATTTATGTTTAGTAAAGATACTTAGCTTATATGCAATTAATATATTTAATTTATATTCAGTAAAGATAATATCATGAAGCAATGTGAATCTTTCTGTTGTTGCCCACTACAAATACATTTAAGGAACATAACATGAAAGAAAAGTGTTATTATTATGGTTGCAGTTATTCATAAATCACAAATACACGTGTGCATACCTATATGTGTATATATGCATATTAATTAAATATATGCCTTACAGATATCCTTATATTTATAGCAAAATATGATGGTAAATGTCACCTTTTATTTTATCAGTCAAATAATCTGATAATAGTAATTGTTTTTGGTAATATATGCTAATATGTTAACCATTCATTTGCAGGACACATTGTAGTTAAGAGGAAAATGGAGGTATTGCAAATCCAAACTCTCTGTAACAACTGTTCATACCATCATTAATGCTGTAAGAGAAATATATGAAATTCCTCAAAAAAACCCAAAACAACAAATATAAGTGAAACAAATATAATAAGGATTCGGCTGCCTATTAATTTTGATACGTTTGGGGGATTTCAGTTTGGTTTTTGGTTTGGGTTTTTTTTTAGAAAAACAAGACTGTACTTTTAAGGAACATTTCTAGGTTCAGTGTATTAATTCAAAGTGGCATTTTTGTCCCTTACCAGGCTCTCATCTTCTGTCATCTCCTCGATCTTGACAAAATTCTAACCATTTGGTAATGAAACTGTCTTTATTGAATATTTCTGAAACAATTGTCTGTTTGAAAACTGTAGAATCGGAAAACCTGTTGTAAACCCAGGTATTGACAACAACTCCAGAGGTTTTTTTTAATTGACGTGCAATTATTTTTACTTCTTGCAAGATTCTACCTAGATGCTTACTTTACACTTAAGTACAAAAATGCTCATACCTGGATTTTACCTGGAATAGCAAAAGACATGAAGTAAAAGTAAGCATAATAATTTGTGGCCACATGTATGATCAATCAGGTAAATCCTATATATTTGCAATGCATTCCATTCATTATTGGATTATCATTATTGAATTAGATATTAGGAAAAAGTTTTTCACTGAAGAGGTGGTCAAGCATTAGAACAGGCTGACCAGGAAAGTGGCAGAATCACTGTTTCTGGAAATGTTCAGAAAACATGTAGATGTGGTTTAGTGGTGGACTTGGCAGTGCTGGGTTAATGGTTGGACTTGATGATCTTAGATGCTTTACAACCTTTATTATTCTATGATTCTATTCCTATGATTCTATTTCTATTTCATTTTTCTTTCTGTTTGGTCTTGCATTAACTAGGAGAAAGAACTGCATATTTGACTAATACCTTCATTGTAAATGAGGTTTCCTTGCTTCATGACACAATTTTTCAATCATAAATAACATTTAAGACAGAAGCAGTCTGTGAGTATAGTGTCTAAGAAATAGTTATGATAGGAATAGGAGTAAGAAAACTGCACTATGCTGATATGAGTCGTATCTGTGCTTGAGAATTCTTCTTCAGGGAATAGACTGTTGGATTTCCATGCCAGCTCTGTCTTTCATCACTCCAGTTAGACCAATAACTGGAACAGCAGCATTGACAATAATACCCATCTCTTAGTAGTGTTTAGTAGATATCAAAAGTGCTTTATCAGAAGTGCAAGCATAATTATGTCACTTTCAAAGATGGAAAGAGAGACATACAAAGGGAACGATTTACAGTGATTTATAACAAACCTGTCTTGTAGATACTTCATTCCGAATTAGTTGATCACTCTCTACAATGGTTTTATTTTCTTTGGCTGAAAGTGCTGAGATCTGTCTGAAGGATGGAAAGAAAGAGTATGCTTTAAATTGGTTTGTCTAGGTCACAAGTGTTAATAAAGTTTAAAGCAGACCCTACGAAATCTAATGAGACTAGAAAAAGAAAAAGAGACCCATGACTGTCAGACTTTGGGAGAGCCTCTGATTTGTTAAACCCACGTTCAAAGGAATAGAGAGTCAACACCTTTAGAGTATCTGGGATTTTTGTGAAAATACCTTCAGGCTGATGAAGTTATCCTGCCCTATTACTGAGGGTCTGCAAATCTTGAACAATGATTCTCACCAACATATAAAATGTTGTTTTGTCAGACAGCTTATATGCTGATTATAATTGCATATATGCAAGATTAATAATTTATTACATTTCTTGCACAAAATATTTGACTACTCTACCCTCTAAACAATGTGTAAAGTAGTTACAATCAAAAAATAAAAAAATAACTTCGTGAACTTTTGACTCTGAGATTTAGGCAAGCAGAATTCATGCTATGATAGATGTGAATGTTATTCTGCCAAAATAAAAGGATTTATTTTATGAAGACTTTTCGCAAGTTTCTTGCAGCAAATTACAGCAGGTCTTTGAAACAACAATATACATTTCATACTAATGTAAGAACAATATATCCCTTCCAATTGCATGTACTTTTGAGTTGAAAGCCAGAAAACTTGCATATAGATTTCTGAAATCCATCCTAAAAATGATATTTAGCAGTACACAGAGGTTCATAAACAAGTGAGGTTGTTAATACAGAAATAATCCAGATCAGGCAATTAGGATGAGTTTGATTGACTGTCTTACTGCATTGACTCTTTTACTTCTAGACTAGTTTTCGAATTCATTATTGATAGGCTTCTTTTAGCTTTGTATTTATTCTGCTTTAAAAATAATGTAGTAAAAAACATTTTTTGTCAAAATATGGAAAGGAAAAGCTGGTATGTTTAGTTTACCTTTATTATCGATACAATCTTGAAGATAAGTGCATAGGAAAAGTAGTCACAAGCTTAAGTTAGCCCCAAACTTCTTTTCCACTTTAAACATGCAATAGCAATTTCCTTTCTTTTTATTATTATTTTAACAAAGAACATATTCCAATCTTAATTCTTTTTGTTGTTTAACAATGTTTTCAATTTCAGAAAATATTTCTTTAAATTAAAGAAAGCATGCAATTTTAAAAATATTATTACCATGTTAGATTTATTTTAAAGTTTCACTAATTAGACACTTAATTTACTAATTTGAGGGTTTCAGCCTTCAGTGAATATGTTATGGTTCCCAGGCAAAATAATTAATGAAAAGTTTACTGCTTGATTAAATAATATTTTTTTTGCTCTTTAACAAAAGAGCACTGCACTGGAGAGATCTACTACCATTTGAGGTGTTAAATAATCCAAAGGCAGAGAATCTGGGAATTCTGTAGAGGCAAGACATTGGTACTTTAAACCTTTAGGAGGTACACCTAGAGTAAATTATATATTTTAAGAAAAAAGCAATTGACTACATTTGTAGGGCCATAAGAAAATGAATGGAGAAAATGTTAATAATACTTGAAAGCTCTTGATTGCCAAAAGAGAGAACTGTTTAGTAAGATACATTTGCCATAATTTAAGAATTCACAAGAAAGGGAGCTCTAGGCTGGGAAAAGCTCCTGACATTTAGATCTAGCAGGCTACAGAAAATCATCCATGAGAAAACAAAAAAACTCTTACTCTTTGAAATTTATAGCTATGTTGTATATATTAGTACATAGAATGATATTCAGTCATATTTAAACTTTGTTCTAATTTTTTGGGACAATGTATTGTGAGAAATTTATTTTGCTATTGAGAAGTACTAAAAAGTTAAACTATCAAAAATACTTACTATAAATATATAGTTATTATTATTTTCCTTTGGTAAGCGGCAAAAAGATATTAATAAAATTTGTATTTGATGAGTTATCATTAATTATATATATATATACATATATATATAAACAGCTGAACTGCTGTACTGTGAATATCGGATCATTCTCTTGCAAAGTTTTGGTTCTGTTCCACAGATGCCAAAGAAAGATATTTCTGGGCATAAAGTGTTCATTTATGCTAAACAAATATCATACCTCTAGTCAAGCCTACTGGTTATTTTATTTACATAATTGGTTTAAGTATTTTGTAGAAACTATTGTCTAAATTACTCAAGCATCTGTATGCGTGACAGTGAAAGTGATTGTTTCACGTATTTCTGTGTTTTCTTAAACTTGCTGTGGCACCATCCAGCATCTAAGTTTAAGTATACCTGGACTTTGAACAAAAGAAATCTCTCTTTTATTCAGTTTAATATAGTAAAACAATAACTGTTAATTAGATATATCTAATTGAACTAGTTCTCCATCTACTTGAAGTATGAGTTTCTGTGTCAAAAGCATTGAGTATCTCTGTAAGTGTTTAAGTGCAAAATGGACAGACAATTGCGCTTTTAAAAATATAATAATTTTGTGTAGTAATTTTAGTACACAAAGGAGTTTATTTTTTTTTAAGTACTGCATTGTGAAAATATTTGTATTACTTTTAAAAGTGAGCAATACATAATTATGAAATTTTGTGCTGTCAAATTAAACATGACAATTTTATCGTCTTAAAAAAGAATGTGATACAGTGAAATTTAGGGAGTTCTGGTTGGTTGGTTTTTAATTTCACATGTCTGTTTACTGTTTAGAAAAGAATATTTCTACTCCAGAAAAATCCTGTTTGGGTCCATCTCGTAAAGAACGGATATCATTTCGAGACCATCCAGTGCAGCTCAGCGGAGGATGGGGAGCAGGCAAAAAAAGGCAAAAGCTTAAGAATATTAGCTGAATTTTTGAGATAATTTAACTAGTTGATTAATCAAATATGGAGAGCATATGGAGACCTGTTTCTTTTTAAGCCAGTGAATATCAATTGTTGAATTTTCGTTTATAACCAATAAACCAGTTTCAGTTAACAACATTTGACTTATTTTATTATCCACGGTTACAGCGGTTTGGGTTTTGTGTTTTTGGTCGAAGTATTTTATACCTGTCAGTAAGTTATCATAGTTTGTGTTTTCAATTGCTTATATGTTCTTGTGGTGTAGAATGCAGAACTGATTAACTCTACAAGGTTTGTTATACAGTGACTAAGTTTAGGCTTACTTACAAGAACTGGATGAGAAGTCTAAATGTAATAAGGGTTCGTGTGATGTATGTCACATATTGAAACACTGAATTCTCATTTTCTCACTAAATAAAATACATGCTTGCAAACTGTGTTGTGAGATATAACAGCCATCAATGCTATTCTTAGAGAAGTCTATTTAGAATATTTTACTGAAGCAGCAAAAATTTGCAGCAACCTACAAATGGTGAGAATGCACTTTTTTTAGGAATATGAGAAGTCCTCTAGATTTTTCATCATAAATTATTGTCATAATACGATAAAGCAACCTGTTGTAATTTTATACTTTCAAATACTTCTAACGGTTTCCTAGAGGATTAAAGAAAAAAAATAATTTAAAAGGTTCCCATTTTGTTCTGGGGTAATGATAAATTAGACCTACATGACACTGATAATGCAACTTAATTTGTTCATGTAGCCACGCTCTTCAGACTGATGTGTAAACATTTTGTGGTGCAAGGAGATCTAGAGAAAGAGAAGAGAAATAGTATTTCAACTATTCACGGGTATCTAACTCATTACTTCTAGTGAATGCTTTGTTCATCAACATACAGGACAGATTTCAAAGCCTAACATTATTTTAGTGTTTTCCACTTTAAGGGGAGAAGTTGCTAATTGAATCTAGGGAAGGCTGTCTTTGATATTTACTTGTCTGTTTTTGTCCAATATTGTGAGCCTCAACGCCCTACAGACAGAGAAAGAGGTGGGGAAGGCAATGGGGCTTGAAAATTTAGTAAGAAAAGAACATAAACTCTTATGTTGTGGCAGTTTTTAAAATGTACTTACATTACTTGTGACATTATTTTGTGAGGTGCTTTTTATGCTAACATACACATTTGTATGGTTTAAAAGCAGTTATCTCCAATTTTGTGAATACTCACATTAATTTTCAGATAAAAAGATGGCTGATCTCATGGAAAACCTCCAGTAAATAACCTTGCTTGTTTGAGTCAGTGTCCTGTTTTTATTATCATTTTACATTTGAAAAGTCAGTGCAGCCTACTTGAAAAAAGATGTCTTGGCCTTTCTGGGGAATTATGGTCAGTGAAGATTGCTTGACCTACCTGACTGTAGAAATGCTGCAGTTGTCAGCAGGATATAAAATATCACTAGATGATTCTGCTAGCTAGTTGGTTTCCCAATGTATGTAGTTAGTGTTAAACTAGATTTCAGAATCTGCAGTATAAATACTATTAAATGTCACCCCCAAAGACTGGAGCTTTTATGATTTCCATTTTAACATCAGATTTGTAAGTTTTATAGGAAAACAATTGTTATTTCAAAATGTCTGCTGCTACATGTGGCAGTGTGTGTAACCACTGTTACAGGTGTTAACTGGAGATCCAAATACAAAATCAAGCAGTTCACAATTTGACATTTCTTGCAAATTATCCCCTCTATTTGTCTAGAGTAGCCATAATATACTGCACATCACTAGAGCTGTAAATAAGATACTTCAGATTTTGTGTACCTTTCTATATCTATATCATCTATATCATCTATATCATCTGTATCATCTATATCTCTATCTAGCTGTATATCTAAAAACTACCTTCTGTATAAAAGTTATCAGACCTGGTGTCTTTTGTTTTCCAAGTGTTTCTGAATAGGAAATACGGCCCACCCTAAATAAAATGTTTTGGCAGCATTTTTAAAAGCATTCTATTTTGCAAAGGTAAAAGGTAGCTTTTTAACATACAATTTACTAAATTACAAATCAGAATGGCAATATTCGCTGACAGGCCTTTTTGGATTTATAATATGCTTAGTCTGCTATTCCATGAGTTGATATTGTTATGCATAGGTTAAGTAATATACTCAACACAAATGAAATTATAAAGTATGTCAAAACAAGTTGCTGTTTTCATTACGCAACATTGCAATGTGTAATAGTATGAGATCTTATTATTGTATCCAACACATTTTTCTCAGAATTGCAGTGTTGAAAATACAGTGTGTCTGATCAAATACAGAAAAACGTGCAAGGTGCAACTTCTGTTCAAGCTAGCATTCAGGAATAAGGCGAAGCATGCCTTGCTGTTCATAGTCACATCTTACAATATGTAAGCTCAGAGGTAACACAAATGATACACATGGTGGATATTTATGGCATGAATTTTTCAAGCCCTACTCTGCAAGCAGTTTCATGATTTTTTGTGTCTTTTGGGGATTTTCTTTTCCTTCTTTCTTCTACATTTTATTTTTGTTCTTCTTTTCTTTCATCTACCCCCTGATGCAGCAATTCCCATTTAGGACAAGAACATATTCTGAAAAGTAAATTTCTCCAGCAGTCTGCACTGATGTTGGAGTGTCTGAGTCACAGTGACAGTCCAGCAAAGCCTGCACCACAGGTCCCCAAAACTCTGTTTCTGGATGGTGCTCCAGACTTCTTTGTGGCTTACTAGCTTCATCTCCTCGACCCTTTTTTCTGTTCCCTGTAGATCTTTTAGGAGGAGGGACGTCATATGAATAAGCTCTTTTAAAAAATCTTCCTTGGATGTATGAAGCTTGAGACTCAGAAATGTGGAAAAGAATTCATTAGAAATTAAGGAGAAAGCAACTAAAGTGCATTTATGCATTGAATCGTTGATGGATGTCATTCCCCAAATTGGAAAGCTTTCTGGGAGCTCTCCTGAAGGGACCCCTGATGTGTCTTTTCCCCTGCAATTTACCTGAAGGTATGCACAGTAGTTCTTTAAATCCTCTGTTGTTTGAAAGGGGATATTAGGAAAAACACCTGCGGCAACAAAAAAAAAGCTCCCCAAAATGCATATTCTCAATGATAACCAAGTGCTAATGGCACTAATCACCCACACCTGAATCACAAAACACGGGCAGATTTTCCTACTTAAATATTCAGACAAGGTAACCATGCTGACTCAAAAGATTGTTGCTTGTTTTATCAGGTATGTAAATAGCCAATGTATAGCATAGACACTGCTTTGGTGCAGGCTGAGTTGGTGTCACATTTTGACTGAGTAAATCATTATAATTAATTATTAATAATCCTATTATTCAAACATGCATTCGTTAAAGGTGTGTCCACTGTACATTTTTCAAAAACATGCCACAGGTGGAATCCAAATCTAGCCTCTGACACATGGCTGCAAAACTGCCGCTTGGTCTTCCATTACAACTGTTAAAAGCACTATGAGGAATATATTGGATTAATATCCTTTTGATTTTAATTTCAAATTATTGTGATAATGACAATGTGTATTTATGAAGGTACAGTCTTTCCTTGATACACACTGAAATAATAAGCAATCTTTATTTTCTTTAGTGAAAAAAACCCACATGAAAAGTAATATTACCACATGGCCCCCAAAAGACAGGAATAGAACTAAAAATATATTATGAAAGATTGAGTAGCCTGATATTACATCTGAGTTTCAAGCAGTTTGTTCTTAGCTTCCCTAGTTGGGGAAAAAAACCCCAACAACCAACCAAACAAAAAACCCCAGCAAGCTAAGTTGTTTTGTTTATGTTTTGTTTATTTCTTTTTACAATCATAAGTGGAAAATGAACTATTTTATAGGAGTTTGGAAAAGCATAAGAGCCTTGAATATTAATCTGTCACTGCAGGAGTTTCTAGAGCCTGTGTGAGGAATGTATAACTATACATTCATATATACTTTCATATATTCTTTCGTATAAATGGGATGCCAACTGGTCATGGATGTAGCTGTGGATAAGTAGGAATGGGACAGCTCTTGCTTCTCACACAAAGTCTTACAAATATGCCTAGAGTAGGGAAGGAGATTGGTATGGCCTGCAAGTAACAAGTAGACTAAAGTAGCTGTTGCATCTTGTGGAGAACTGCTTTCCTGGTTTCCAGGGTCAATGATGGACAGAAAAATGCCCTTGGCTACATCCAGAAGGCACTCCTTTGAGCCCCAAGTTGTGCTGAGGGTTTGTTAGCAGTAAAATCTTCATTGGAGTTCATGAAGTTTCATGATGTCAAATGATCGGAGACTGGGTTTCCAAAAGATTTTTAGTAGAAATGCTGTGTAACAGCCCCAGACTGACCATCCTTTCAAGGACTGGAAGTTGAAGTGAATGACATTGTGAACTACACTGTTATTTACAGAGCATTTTGACAATTGGATTGTTCTTTATGAGCACAGACGGACTGCCTCAATTTTTTTGGTGAGAGATGCTGACACGACTAGTTAGCACATATGATCTCTATCCACCAAGGTCTAGCATTTGTTCCTCTCCTGGTCTTCATTCAAATGCTAGATAGGTTTATTTGGAGTTAGTAACCTTTTCTTAGTTGATTGATTGCTATTTATATAATGCTTTTTTTTTCTTGTTGCATAAAGCATTACATAAGCCAAATACACAGGTAGATGTAAAATTACTTCTGACTGAAATGCAATTGATAGCTTTTTAACAATAGAGCAGGTAAGAGCGTTTTATGTTATGCTGGTTCCACTAAGATAAGAAGTGATTAAAAACGTTTACTAATAGCTAAAGGTCGGGTTTTATTTATTCCTATCTTATTCATTTGTTAATTTTTTTTTTTTTTTGACGAGGCGCTACTTCAATCCTGAAGGTAAATAAGCACCACCAAGTAGCTGAGCCACAGCCAACGTGGTGTACAAATATCCTGAGACAGAAGACAGCTTTTTAGGAGAGATCGCTATAACTGTTTAGTTAAATTCTAATAATGGATAGGTGCCTCTGTTTCAAGACAGCTTAATTTTCTGTGCTTGTGAGCCATGCTATGAAAAAAAGGAGCATACAAAAATAAAACGGGCTCTATGTTCCTGCAGCATTCCTATCATGAGATGAGAGCTGCCCCGTCCAAATGGCATATTTTCTGCTACCGTCACCGCGTAGGGGTGGTTCGAGAGGTTCTTCATTGCAAGAACACAAGTTAAGCCGTGACCTTGACTCTCATTTCCCTGATACGTTGCCATTTGTGTGATTGAATACATTTTCCTTTAAACGACGATGTCCTTATTGTGAGAAAAGAAGGCGCGCTGCGGGATTAAAAAAGCACAGCTAGGCGAGAAGATAATACA